CAAATAACAGCTTCACTAAATAGTTGCATATTGCTTATTTTCTTGTTTATTACCATGGTATCAAGCAACCAATAAAGGTTAAAAATCCAGTTACATATAGAAAAAAATCCTTTCACTTTAAAGTCAACAATTTTCAACCACGTCTTTTAGTTTCTGCTCAGTGTCCCATTTCAGTGAGATTTAACCTCTTAAGGAAATTGTTTTAAAAGCAGTTAAAAATAATGATTAAATTATGGGATTTACATGAAAGAAATCCTCGGCCCATTCATTTTTTTTTAAATCATGGTAATTTGTTTTTTAAAAGGTGTTTGAAGTCCTTGAATCTACCTCTTGGCACCATTAAAAAAGAGTAGTTTATAATCCCCTAATGTGCTTAAATAAAGCCTTCAATAGTTTAAATTGTTATTAAACATCTTTTGGGATTATAATTTTATGGCTTTTTTTGCCTGATTAGATGATGAACGTGAAGATCATCAAATACTCATCATATAACAAACCAATTACATCGTATAATCCCCAAAATGAGGTTTGAATACCAACATTTTAAATTAAGTTGGATTTAAAGGATGCAGAGAATTGACAATGAGGAAAAAAAACCACTTGAAACAACACCCCTTAAACTCCCTTCTTCTAGTTTTTAACAAAAAGGAATTTATACCAATTCCAAATACCAATTTATACCAAAAAACTGGGACTAAAGCATACAATGGGTTGAAGCAGAAACTAATTCTGTTGCCACAATTAAATTTACATATTTAATTGTAAGCAAGATTATTTTTTTCTTCCCCTTCCCTCTCTCCAAGGTTTTCCCTTATTTCACAATTCTTGCTGAGGGTGAGGGTCTCCTCACATTACAGTGAGGAGATCTGCTTGAAAAATGGGGGGAAGAAATGATCCCTGAATATTAAATGATCAAAGAAATAATTTTTAAAAATTGTTTAAAAAGTCTAAAAGGCCCATGAAACATTGTTGGGCTGCAACATACCCTGAAATTATCCTTACAGTGACTTTCTGAAGGCCAGAGCCAGCACAGAACTGGTTTGCCCCGGTCCTTCCTCCAGCCCCTGCCATGGTATTTGATGTTCATCTGAAGCCACTCCACAAGCCTCTCCTCAATTCTGACTCCCTGTTAACAGTTCAGGAATGTCCTCACCTCTTCAAATTATTAGAAGTTTTTTCTTCTTCTCTTTTTTTTCCCTTTAATCCACATAGTAACCAGGCTGCCTTCTCAAATTTATAGCAAAATCCTAAAAATAGATTTCATAAACCTCCAAATTTACCAGTTGTTGTCATAGTCTACCAGCAAAAATTTCAACAAGCTCCACAACTACATTTTGCCCATCTAAGAGCCAACCTGAGCAGCTCTTCCAACCCACATGCCCAATCAAAATTAAGTCAGAATAGCAAACAGTTAAAAAAAACCCCAAACCTGCACAGTCCTAAGTGTGAGTCTGCTCAGCACTTTTGCAATTGTTTTAGTTGTTGTTGTTCCAAGAGGAAAAAAAAATTAAAAAGGCAATTTGGATGAATTTATTCCCTATATTGCTTCAGAGCATACTGCCTGCATCCGCAGAGGACAGCGCTTGCCTACCCTTTGGGTATATGTCAACTTAGTTCTGCACATCAGTCAAAACATTTGGGGGGGCTGGAGCCTGACACCGAGAGGGAACTGCTGCCCAAACATTTCAACATCCGGAGAGAAAAAAAAAAAAAAAGGATTTCCTCCCAAGTGAGAAACAAGAACTAGGGGACAAACCTTCGGAAATGAAGTCAGTACACAAAGGAAGACTTAATACTCTTGGAGATGGAATAACTGCATAGAAGGAACTAAACCAACCTATACACTTTTGAAAGATTACATTTGTCCAACACTTATTTTAAGTCTTTCCAACCAGTAATCATTAGTATGACAGACACAGCAATTACTGTCTATTTTGTTTAATTCCATGCTGCTGATGTGTATTAATATTACAATTGTGAGGGGAAAAAAAACCATTTGCTCCTGAAAAGGAGGGCTCCCAACTAACACCTCAATTAGGAAGCACCAGTGGTCAGGGGGATGCTGGATTTTGCACTTAACTGCTGCTCATTTCTTCCCTACCATTTTTCAGGTGGCAAAGTGAAGGCAGGTAAAGCACAGGGGCCTGCCCTGGCATATCCCCTGCCTGAATAGAACCACCTCCCTGTCTTTCCTCACCTCCTCCCACTTCAGGGAGGACCTTGTGTTCACCCTATGAAAGACCAAATCCACCGATAAATAAATAGATGGATGGATAAATAAATAAATAAATGATGTGGGATTTCTAGCTTCCTTGGAATGACCTCCTTCCTGCAGCAAGGAAACCAGCTGGGGATACCACCATACCACCGTGCAGGGTTTTAAGAGCAGTCATGAAAGTCAAGTGCCCTTATAAATGTCTCTCCCCCACGCTACTCCTCAGCTCCGATTGGAGACATTATTAGGGCCTGAGGTTTTTTTGGGTTTTTTTTGCAGAGAGGACAGCACCCCAAGCAGCCTGTACACACTCTGCATTGCTCTAGCACTAGGAAGAGCCTACAGTGTTCTCCAGAAGTGTTTTAATTTGAGGAAACTGGCCAAGATCCCACCTAGAGTCTGTCTCAAGGCCCTACCTGAAGAAGATTGGACTGGATAAACCAGTTCTGTTTTACTGAATTGATGAGAGAACCCTGGATCTACCATGCTGCCAGGAGAGGAGAAAGCTGCCTTGCAATAAAAACCACCTGCTTCACCTGGCTGGGCTAGATCTGCACAGGGGATGGTGGATTTTTAAAGCAAGCTTTAGCTCAGTGCTGCAAGGTAGAAAATGCAGCAGCTTCATTGCATAGGTTCTGGGGGGAATGGCTCTTCCCATATTCACGTCTTCCAGAAGAAGAGACCATCTTACAAGCAAATGTTCAGACGTTGTCTCCCAGGAGCTGCAAGGAGCCTTTCAGCAAGTTCTACAGGCACTCTCCTCTTCTGCACACTATTACCTCACAGGAGAAGAGTGAAAAGCCACTGGAACCCTACAACTAACCCAGATGAAACAGTGAGGGGGTCCATTCTCTGGTCCTGAGACATGGGTGAAACTAGCTGCAGGGTCAGGTCAAGCCCATGGAGTTAAATGCTCAACACAGGGTGGTTCCTGCCACACGGGTTTTTTGGAGACACCCTGTAGCCTTCTGCCTTCCCAGGAATGGGCATGGAAGGGGGTAGCTGGTCCAGTCTAAGAGCATGCTGAAGACTGCTCGAGCAGTTTACCAGGATAGACTCTCACATTCCTGTGCTTGGGTCTGGGTGATGTTTTATTTACCAGCACAAACACAGCAACAGGACACTCTCAGGAAAAATATTTATACTACTTAATTTGCAATTCCTCACTGGAAACTAAAGGGACTGACATGCAGCTCAGCGTTCCCTGGTGTGCCTTGTCCTGGCTGCAGAGTTTCCAGGGCATCTCCTCAATCCAAAACCTAAACCAGGTGTGCCAGGCTGGTTGTTGTTGGCACAGCATCCCTGGACTGTTCAGAGGTGGATGTCCTTTACCTCACATCTACCTGCAGAGAGAAGCCAGGCATCAGCCCACCTCAAAATGGGGAGCTGCCAACACGCAAAGGGACCTCAGCCTTTGGAAGTGATGGCACTAAACGCGCCAGGCAGGGATAAGGAGCGGGCAAAGCTGGGGCACGACGGACATGGAGTCTGCCAGAGAGAGAGATTAACTTGGAGATATCCGAGGCCCCCTCTGGCCTCGGAGGAGTAATGCTCCAACATGAAGGTTCATTCATAGCAACCCAGGACCGCACGGGACAGGATTCCCTGCCTGATCCCCGTGCTGACAAGAGTCATGGCAGGTATCTGGTTTCTTGGCTCAGCTGGGGACGGAGGGGTGATGTGCATGAGAGCTTCCTCCAACTTTACAGCTATACTCTTGGCAGAGCTCCCACCAGGGCTGGGCAAGCCGGTCAGCTTCTAGTTTCATCCCGACCCTAACTACAGGCAGAGGAGAAAGTCAACCACTGGAATTAGAGGGAAGAGCCATTCTTCACTACTACCAGCAGACCCTCAGTACCTCTCTCCTGACCCTTATCCTCCTGGCATAGAAAGGCTGAGACAGAAAACCTGAGGCTGAAAGCTCACATCCCCACAGTGGATAAAAGCATAGTGACAGATCACAATTTGATGAAAAAGGAGAATGGCATTAGAAACACTTTTCTAAATGCTAACATTAGAAGGTGTGGTACACAATATAAAGCTTTGAAAGCAGCTCCAGCATCCAGCTTAACCCCACACACCTGTCCAGAGCTTTGATTTCAAATCCCAGGAATAAAAAAACAAAACCATACAGTAGCTGTGGTAACAAAAATAGCTGCGCATCCCCCCACCACTTTCTAACATTAAATACGGGGGTAACTTACACTCTGGGAATGAGAATGTCTCAAAGAAAAAAATTACACTTTGCTATTAAACCAGATACATTCAGACCTTTCATCATGAAGCTTCTGATGATCTCTGACAAACATCTGAATATGGTCTTTGTTTGCTTTTGGCTTTGTTTTTTAATCTCCCCAATTGTTTTCTGCAGCTCTCTGGAGCACAGAACCAGGGGCCGAATGCTGCTCTGTGCTCCAGAGCAGCGATTCCCACATCAGCTGAGTGGAGCTGCAAAGCAGGACAGGTCTGCGGGGTTATATTCATATAAGCTTTAAGTAGAAATCACATTTCGCAGTGATGTCCTGTTAACAACTGCGTCTCAAACAAACAAACAAAAAATATCTAAAAACAACACACACACACACACAAAAAACCCCAAACCATCAAAACATACGCTCTGTGCTCTTCCCCTGGCATCTAGCAAATGAGGCAACAACAGCTCTGCCCAGAACAGTTCCTCAGCTGCCTGTCAGCAACATCATACGTATTTTTTGCTTTCTACGACTACTACAACTATGACATTATCCATGTTTTATTTTGCATATGTGATCTAGAGTTCACTTACTGTTAGATGCTGGAACAGCCATGCCCTCATGATATTTGTGGCTACTTTGGGAAAGATGCCACGCTTTTTATGTCGCTTTTTGTCCTTATCTGGATCATCATCATCACCTGTGCTGGGGGAAGCTACACTGTTGTCCAAGCCGTCACCTGTAAATATAGTGAATCAAATTTTGACTTATGCTACCTTTATATACTTCAGCCGAAGCCTGGCTTTGGGTATAAACTGCATGAATATTTAAATGAGGTATAAATTCTTTAACACCGTAATTCACCAGGGGTTGAGGGGATGGGGGAGGGAGGGAGAGACATGGGGAGAGGGAGGGTCTCAGAACTGTGTCGGCCCCATTCTGGTTTATCCTGAAGGACAGTGTGGCCATTTTTGCCATGGTAACCCAAAACAAAAAAGTGCTTAAAAATTGTAAAAAACTTGCAAGCATCCAGCTTGCAAAGGTGGAAACGGTGGGTTTTCTTCACACTAGGTCACTTCCCAAAGATTCATCCCAATCAGCTACTTTGGCCGAGCTGACAATCAGGAAAGTGGTGTTCTGGGATGGGGATCATGACATGTATGAAGCTGGGTGGCTCGTCCCGCTCTGGGATGTGAAAAGCAGGGTGAATGCAGCTCTCTTGCTGCATCATATTCTCTCCACAAATTTGGAAATAACCAGACGACTGGGGCATCACTTATACTAAGTCTTTTACAGATGTCTGACGTCCCCTGACTCTTTGATGGGAGGTGGGCAGCTAACTGGCCTCCCCTCTTCCCAGTCCCAGCCAAAAGAAACTCATAGTGGGATAAGCAAGCACCAATTTGACATACACCATTAGGAATTAACACCCTGCTTTGTGCCAGCATGCCATATCCATAATAGGTGTCTGCTCCTGTTAAACAATAACTGATCCAGAATGAATTTCCTTAATGCAGAGAAGGTCGCAGACAGTTCTCAACACATTACCAACATGTCTAGGGGAGGATGTCACTGCATAGCAGCCACCTTGGGTCTGGGTTGATGGGTTAGTGACCAAAGGAAAACAAAAGTTGCAGTGCCTGGCCAGTTTGCATGCAATTTTTGTTTCAAACCCTGGACACAGTTCATAAACAAGCCCACAGAGCAAGTAAGTCTTTGCATTCACTGCATGTGGACTGAATGGTGTATCCTGACTTCCAAGGACACTGTATTTGTAGCAACATGGAGTTGTGATGTTATTAGGCAAGTGTTTTTTACACCCCTGGGCAAGAATGATCAAGAAAGCCATCTGAATTGGGCTGAGAACAAACTATCTCCATTAGGGACAAAAATAAAATATGTTTTTAAAAAAAGGGATGCAGACTGTCAAAACTGTGATTTGTTAAACAGCTTTCAGCACCAAAAAATAAAAGCTATTATTAGTGCTATATTTTTAGCATGTTACTGACCGTGGCAAATTTATAATTGTCCTTATGACTTGGCCTGTGTCTTTAATGAATTGGTAACCTTGTGTAGTTACAGAAACAAACAAGATTTTTATGAAGAAATTAGATATCCGACAAATTCTTTGAAAGCCCAGTATGTAAAAAAGGGCTTTTATACAGAGAAGCAATTCACCATATAAAATAATAATTCATAAAAGAAACATGAGCAAAGGAAACAACTCAACAGCATTTAAAATTCCACGGGCTAATCCACTTTCTGTCTGCGAGAGGCAAACAAGGAAAAGAAAAGTATTACGCATTCATTGATTAAAAATGAAAAGCTTCTAACCTAATGACACTGCCTTTCACCACCTCCCTGCCATCGTCCACCCACCCTCTCCCCCCACCCCATTTTTTTAAAAATACACTCATTTCAAACCCCCTTCAGATTAATTTAGCAGGCATTGCCTCATGCCTGACGGGAGGAGGACTCATTGATAATTTATGGAAATATCTACTATAATCCAAGGGAGATGACTTTTTTTCCAGCTTTGTGCATCAATAGATAATCAAGGCCTTCAAGCAGCCTTAGCTTCCCATTACCTCGGGCAAGAGAATTCCTGAAAGCATGCCTCCAGGGCACCTGAATTATATCCTCCATTAGGGGAGGAAAAGCTTTCTGCATTCCACCTATAACACTCCCCAGAACCTTTCCTGTTTATTTCTGCTGTATGAAAGCAGAAGCATTAGGAACAGGATTTTTTAAGTGAAGACTTATGTAGATACAATGGAGAAACCTTTCAAGCGCGAGCCAGATCACCTCCTTCAATCCCGGGCAGTGACCTATCCCAAATAAAAGGTTTCTGTTACATCATTAGCTCAAGCCAAAAACAGCCTTGGCTTAATGCACAGTTTGTTCTTCCTACTGTTTTTAGGCAAATACTGCTACTTTACTCCCATCTGGGAGGGAAATTACACTGCTGGGCTGTAATCTAAGACAAGATTTTCATTGGAAGCAAATGCTTTCAATCCAGTGTAAATACTGGTGTATGTTCAGAAAAGCCTAAAACAATAAACCCTGGCCTCGACCGACACAAGTTAGAGAAAGTGAAAAGCAGGGAGAGAATAAGAGAGCGCCCAGCTATCCTTGGAGCAAATGCTTCAGTAGACTTCTGTAAATTGTTTAACCTCTTCCACTTTTTTTAAATGGAAAATTGATCCCGTAAAGACTGAAACCACAGAGAGAACTCTAAATGGTCAATTGTGGATTTTAGTATTTCCATCTACTTTGCAACTCGATACACTCACCTCTGTGAGGTCTCCAGAGATTCTCCCCCCCCCCCTTTTTTCCCCCCCCCCTCTTTTCCTCCTTTTAAAGATTACTAAACAAACTTGAAGCACCCCTGACCAGCCACACGGTAGCAGCTACGAACTGCATTTGTAAAATGTCGGTGGCGACTCTGTTCCTGAAGTTGACTTCTCCTGCTGCCAAATGAAGGCGAACTGAAAAGGTGGAAATAATCATAGAAATGATGCTAGTCCATAAACAAGCTTACAGCCTCATTAGTATAGCGGGAGGCTCCGCTGGGTGATTTATGCTTGTTTTGCTGATGCCATGAGGAAATGCCATAGGGCAACTTTAGCCAGCTGCTAATGGTTTCTGACAGCTTCTTAGCAACTAGTGCAAGCAACGCCGTGGCGTTTGCTAGTGACAGAAACCGAAAATGTCATATTATCTGCCCATGTGTCACGAAGTCCGTGTGGCAATTAACTAGTAGGCCAGTGACTGAGGGACCACAGGCTCTTCAGAATGGCCCATGGCTATTTGGGGTCAAAGCGGGCGCACTGCTCGCCTTTACGCTGCACATATGCATGTGTGTATGTGCCGTCCCCACCGTGCTCCCTCCGCCCCGCTCGCCAAGGAGTTTGGTCCATGCGGATCCTTTGTCCACGGAGAAACTCCATCCCGCTTTCTCTTTAGGCATGGAGTGACATTATCAGAGGAATTGCAAGTAATCTGTCTTGATATGATGGTTGAAAATGGCACTTTAATTGGCAATACCTGATTCCCTGGTTTTGAGTGCTGGATCTGAAGGTGCTAGCTGTTTTTCTGCTCGCTCGCAAATTAGTCTAAAAGGATTTAAGATCACTGAAGCAGACTCGTTGCCTGTCAAATTGCTGGGAGCACAGCAACTCTGCACAGCAACTAGACGCTGTTTTAAAAAAAAAAAAAAAACACAAACAAAAAAAAAACCAAAACCGGAGCCTGTAAGGAGCAGAAGGAGAGCCCGGACTCCGCACGCCCGCTCCCTGGCGAGCAAGACCAGGTGCTATATGTCAAACTGTCAAACCTTTCAGCGTGGCCGTTTGCCCTTTCAAATAATATTTAAGAATTGTTTTTACACAATTTTTTATAGGCCATGGTCTAGTGAAAGAGGCCAACCAACAAAGAAGGGAATTTGTACTACAATTCGTCCATGCACGATTCCTTGCCAGACCTGGGCCAGTCCCCATGGAGCGAGGTAGGTGACCTGTGGCAGCTCCCTGGCTGTTGGGGAGCTCCGATTTCAAACGCCCTCGACTCTGGCGTCCCAGAGTTGCCTATTTAAGCACACCCAGGCATTTAGGCCTTGCTATCTTGTTCCTTTCAAGAAAGGATAAAGCAGCATTTATCGTATTCAGCCCTGCTGAATGGGTCAGGCCGGCCGTGCCAGCAGGGGCTCTTCTCACTGCGTCCCCCTCTCCGCTGTCATTGCCTCTTACGACTTCCCTTCCCCTCCCACTCCCCCAAAAATCAGAGGCAGAAGCAGCAAAGGGCAACCAAGTTTACAGCAGCCCCTCGAGTGGGTAACACTCTCTTTGTCCTGGGTGATGTGTTATGAACCTTTGTTGGCAAAATAGGTGCTTCTGGAGAGCAACTTGGCACAGGCACTCGCCTTCGGCAGCCATGGCTGTGGCAGGAGTTTCCTGGTGATTCAAAGCCTCCTCCCTCGCTCTCACACCAAACCCAAATTAAATGTCATCCCCCTGCGACACTGGAAAGACACACAGCGTGGCACAGATGGGCAACTTTCAGCCACTCCAGCTCCCAAATACACCCTCAGACCTCAACCATAGGAAATGCCCAGACATGACATAAATATTCCCAATCCCAAGGTTTCAAAAAGGCTGAAAATTCAGACATCCTAAAAATCCCAACCCTTTGCTCGACTACAAAATCCATGCCTTTGCATGTAACTCTTTTGACTAAGGTCCTTACATAATTTTAAGTGACCAGAAATCTCAGCAGCAAAGTGCCAAATACAGCTTTACTACAAGTACCTTCACCAGACTCAACAGGTTATTTCTCCCTGCACGTAGCCCTGTCCTGGTATCAAATCTGCATTTGGAGGAAAAGTATTTTTTATATCAAAGAAAACCAGACTATTCTAAAAAGCCGGCTTCCCACACCTCTGCCAGGAGATCTGAGAGAGGTTTTGGAGTCCACTGCTCAATTTGCTGAGAGGGGGTAAGAGGAGGGCACTAGACCTTTGCTGAGGTCTACCAAACAATAAGATGAACAACACCTTCCAGCTTTTGCAGTCCAGTTCTAGACAGGCATCTAAATCCACTGCTTTAAGGAGTTCACCAAAGGGAAAGATGTGCACTAAAAGCCTTAGGAAAGGCCTGGAGCAACTTTTAAGTGGACTGACTAAATCAGAGTCCTCTAGAAGCTCCCTATGTTGAACTTATTTGTATGCATTCAAATCTCTCC